CTATTCTAATTGGTATAACATAAATAAAAAGTAGTTTAATAAAATTTTGAACGTAAGACACTAAAATCTTGTGTCATGCATAGTAAAAGGTACTCGTGCTGATAGGGTTAATTTAGTTTGATTTATAATTTATATTTCTTACGATTAATTTCCTTTCTGAGGGACCTTGGGGCCTGGGGTACCCCCCCCCCCGCCCCCCTCCCGCTCCCAATATTGCTCACCTTCCTTCTATAACAGCTGAATCCATTTTCAGAAGACCTAAATTTTGTCAGTTTTCCTCCACCTTATGATGGATTGCATTCCAGGTCTCTATTGCAAAATCTGTTAGGCTTATCTCAATTTTTTTTAAACATGTTTCACAGTATATATTCCCCTTCTCTTGACATTGTTTTATGATTATCTTTTTTGTCTCTCTTTTGAGTGTGAATATTTACTCGCCTCTCCCTTTTTTGCCTTAGCTTACCATCAGGTAGATTTTCTTCCTGATTTTATGTTATTTGCATCTATGGTAATACTATTCATTTTATTGCCTACCTAGTTTTTTAGCTTCATTTTACCTTATCAACTCTCCTACAGTTAATGTTTACCTTCCACCTCCCTTCTTTGGTGTTCCACTTATATTTAGGGATTTTCTTGGGATACCTCCTTCTTCTTCCTTCCATATTGCGGTGTTTGCCATCTTCAGTTCTTTCCCCACACTTGTGGCTTCTTTGCATTTTGGGATCTTATAGGGTGGGACACTGCTGTTTGTTTACCATCCACTGTTCAGTACCTTTCCATCCTTTACTTGTCTTATCTACATGTTTTCTTCATTTGTCTTGAATGCTCGATGCTGATTGGGATTCTGGATCGATTGGCCCCACCTCAATCAATTCTTGGGTCTTTCCCGTTTTAATATTTAGTTTTTGATCACATTTGGGTAGGCTGTTTCTGCGGGACTAGGAATGCCCATGGTACACATTCTTATCTTCGTTTTTTCAATGCAAGATTTGGTACTAGACTGGCTTCGTGTCTTGACCTTTGGACTTGTTTCGGTTCCACATGTCTTTTGTGGGGTGGTCTGCATTTTACCTGACTTCCACATTTTGGAGGATTTTACCTACACCATTCATTGGATGTCTAGCTTCAGTTAGCTCCTTCCTTAACATACTCATCTACTCCTTCCACCATCAGCTCAGGTAATTGGATTTTCCAGCTGGATAAGTTTTTCCTGCTACATACCTCACATTCTAGTCTCTTTGGGGTGTGTATTTGTAAACACCTCCTCCAGTTTTCTGTTATCTGAGCCTTTCCTTTGGGTTTTTTTCTTAATTTTCATCCTTCCCTCTTTGTATATACACATTGATAGTTGAACATATCCATCACGATGTCGGATTTACTGCCTCCTCCCCATCTTCTGGATTGTTTCTCATGTTACAGATGCTTTGTCCTCATTGCTAATTGACTTTCCAGTCCTGATACACTTTCTCCCTAAAAATGACCTCTCGATCCTCCTAGTTTTTGGTGGCTCTGCCTCCTGTGGGATACTCCACCACATGAAGTTTTTGAATCTTTATCACTTCCCAGTTAGTTACCTTTTTGTTTTTGGTCTCTGGTTCATCATCCACTTGCCATGGCTGTCATTAAGTTCAGACAAGTTTACATCCAGTTTATAAAATTAATTTTTTCTCATTCCATCAGTCTTCTTCCCCTAATTTTTGTTCATCCATGTGACTTAGGTTCAGGTCTTTCTGATTGATCCTTCCTGGCCAGCACTGCTTTGGTTTTCTTGGCTGTTTCAGCTTGATTTGTTTCTTTTGTTGTGGATCGATTTTATTAACCTACATTTTAGTGGCTCATGCGATATATTCCTTTCGACCTTTTCGTTTCTTACCATCTTCCACATTTCTTCTCAGTGGGATGCAGATGACCTTCTTTGTCCAGTACATGCTGTGGATTGCTTCATTGTTTTTACGACTTCTTTCCATTTAATCTATTTCCCATGGTTTCCTTCCCTTACTCCAATTCTTTGTTGGTATATTTTTTTTCCTTCCTCTCTTACCCATTGGCTTGGATTGTGATTCAATTGGCTTTTTATTCCTTGTCTCCTTCTTCCTGTCATCACTTTCTGGTGTCTTCACTGAGGTTGTGCACCTTCCCTTTTCCCTGCATGTCTACCCTGTCATCCGTTGGAGATACTTCATCTGTCAAGCACTAGGACTACATCTCATACATACATCTCCCATTCTCTGCTTTGGGTAGCTGTTTCTTCCTTTTCAGGGTACCATCATCTACCTGTTGCCATCCTTCACTTTTTAATGAGACTGTGACTGGGTAATTTACCTTTTTGTATATACACCTCTTATTTTTATTTTTGGATCCCACTCTGTGGCAAGTGGTACCTGTCCAGATGTACTTAAACTAGTCAAATCTGTAAGACCATGTCAACTTTCATATTATAATTTCCATGGCCAAAAAATGCACACTACTGAGATGGAGCGTTCACAAGATTGCTTGTAGATTTATCTTCCCAATATGTTTGCTTCATTAGTTTGCCCTTCCCAGACTGTACCCACCCATGGACTACATGGGTAAAGTAGAAAGGGATAGTTGCCCATCCCTGCCATGCCTTGTATTGAATAAATCGGTATGGTCTGCTTTTCAAAATAGGGTTTTGTGGTCACCCATTGCACTGTTTCAGGTGCTGTTGTTCCTGTTCCTCCAGACTCTCCACTGCTTTCTCCCCCTTTTCTTTTAGTGGAGTTTGAGAGTCCTTACCATTTTCCAGTTCCAAGCCTCTGAGGTGGTGGACCATGGAAGTATCCTCTGAATGTGTTAATGAAATACAAATAATATATTTGTATATATATACATAAGTGATTATAAAATCATTCAGTTGAGAGTAGGGTGATGGTGTTCTGCTGGTGTACATGAAGAAATATCCTCCACTATGTAACAATGGAGTGAGCTGTTAAAATTGCAGTTCACCCCTTCCTTTGGGATCCCTGATCCTACCCCCACGTGGATGTCGGTTTCCAATGGCTGGGTTTTGGATTTAGAGCTGAACCAATCAACATAATCTCTTACACATGTATTATAGATGTCTATATTCCCTCACTCATTTATATTTTTGTTACTCCAACCGTGTTGTAGGTCATGATAGAGATACTTGCAGATTACTACGATTCTTCCCCTTCTGCTATTGATGTTCTTATTATTCTGAGGATGTTACTGCACTTTAGGTGGTTCCTGTCATTTTAAATTTGAGTGAGATTGTTTACATTCCACAGACATCTTTTTGATGTTGGGTTCCCGAATGGATCAATCAATTTCTCACATTGTTATCGTGTGCCCTGGTCTCTTGAAATCGAGGTGAAGACTGTATAAACCTCTTTCCTACACCCACATGGATGTTGGTACCCAGTGGCCAGGTTTTGTATTGTAGTCGACTTACCAACATTATAATTCTCATCCTACCCTGCATGGATGTTGGTTCCTAGCAGCATGGGTTTTGGATGTAGTTGACTTACAGTGTATGGTCTGTTGCACCCTAGCCACTATACACCTAGGGGCACGTTCTTTTCGTCTTACCCACTAATATGTTTTCTGGGATTGAGTTTAATAAATATAAGTATGGTTGGATCCCTAGCCTATCATAGTTCCCTCTGACTTGGATGTGCTCCTCCATCTTTCCACCCTGGTACAGAAGTGGTGTGGTATCCCATGTATGATCTTCTACTTTGAGGATCTACACTATGAGGGTGTCCTTCGGATGCTTTCAAAGGATGCTTATTTCGTTCCCTCGTACCAATCTCTCCATCTATTCAATGTGGAATTCTAGCTATTTATGTGAGAGGAGGTAATGTACTTTATCAGAAGTTATAATTTTCGTACACTTAAAATGTATTTCCGATAGGACTTCTGCTCATACTTCCCATCTTTCCTCCCACTGAAAACTGGTGCTTTCGTTTTCTACCAAAACTTGAAGTGAATAGAGGGAGTCGCATGCATTAAGAGAATGTGTCATACTCTTATTGGTGGAAGGTTGTCGCATAATGATTTGCATGCAAGACACATTTGAATCAGTTGATTCAAAGATGGGTGGGAGCTTCAAGGCTTGTGCCATAGGAAAAACAGTCTTGCATATGGAGAGCAGCACTGAATGAGAATATCTATTTATGTGAAAGGAGGTAAGTACCTATGGGAAATAAATTTTCAGTATAGGAAAATTATAACTTCACACAGTGTGAGGGGAGGATACACAAATGACATATATATATCTCAGAGAGTGTGCTAGCACTCTGTGGAAGAATGTAATGAAAAAAAATGGCGACCATTATTGCTATAATACATAAACATAATACATAAATTTGGGTGACAAGCTATAAAGTAATAAAGGTCTCTTTGTAACAAACTTATAATAAGATGAATATGAACATATTATTTACTGTTTCTTTTATTATAACCACAGACATAGCTGATAAACAGAGCTTTACCCCTCTTCACTTTGTTGCCAGAAGTGGGTCAGCAGAGGCTCTTATGGAGCTACTGAATGCTGGAGCAAGTGTAAACATCAAAGGTTTAGCCAATCAGATCCCACTTCACCTGGCTGTGAGTTTTATATAACTTTTATGGTACAATAAGTTTAATATAGTTTCATATGATCTAATAAAATGTACGAGTTTTTGAAAGTGCTTAGCAAAATATTTATTTGATAGCAAAAAGAAGTATTGACATAAGATGGAAAAACTGGAAACTGGTTTAGCTCCACAGGAAATCATTAGGCTTAGTTTTAGTCACAGTTTGATATTTATATTACTTTTGAAGTTCTACATTTATAACGGAAAGTAAGTTGTACAGTTTTGGAGCCTCACCACTTCATCATAGTCTATGTTGCCACATTAAATAATGCTTCATCTGGCAATTTTACCAGTATGTCTTCCTGTGAAATAGCAGGAATATCCACTTCATTCTTGAGCTGATTGTGGCATGCAGTAGTCAAATGGATATGTCATGAAAGCTACTTGTGTTACACATGACCTGTGTTACTTGTTGAGATGGAGATCCTTCTTGATTGTATCGCATATTGTTGTCTGGGGAATATGGACAGCTTTTGTCACTGACTTTTATGTTGGTGTATTACCACCTGTTACAAGATACCATACTTTGCCTATCATGACTGGGATAAGCATGTTACTTTCTGGATTGTCCTAGTGCCCCCAAATTGATCAGTGTTCTTTTGTTTTTCAGGTCAGTAAATACAAATGATATCTTTTCTTGAAATTCTAAATCTCCTATATGAATGAATGAATATCTTGCATAGGAAAAGACTGTTACATACCCATCCCAAAAACAATAAGTTTTGTATGGTATCTCACTACCTGCAAAAACAAATTAAATGTCCTGATACTTGACATTCCAAGATGGTTGTGGTTGTCATGCGACTTGCTGATGTACTTTTCAAAATTATTTTCATATAACTTACTTACCCCTCTGTAGAAAAGCAGTATGCTGTGTTAAATAATTTGATAAAACAAGATTTTATCAGAACTATAGTTATGAAGTAATTAGTTAACCTTACATTATTATATTGTATTGTAAAGTAGTAGGCCAAATTTATCATATGGTTGTATAAGAAGAAAAGATAGTATAAATTACTATGAAGTTCAATTCAGAACACTAGTGTTGTTTATGTTTGTACAAATATTCCTTCTGAATCAGTTTCAGAACTTTTATGTATTCAATATTGTCAAAGTTTCTCTAGCACTAATTATTAGATATAATATTCTCTATGGAGCCTGTTAGAGTGACATAGCCACTACAAATGAGAATTTAAGAGAGAATAGAGGTAATTATAAAGATTGCTGTGGGCCTACGTATTTGGTTCAAATTAGTCAAGAGCTATCTTATAAATTAATTGATTTTATTGTTATTATTATTTTAAAACTACCTAAGTAACTATAACACTCTTTTGATTCTTAACTTTCTGTGTTTAGTCTTGAGTAGGTTTAATTTGGCAAGTAAGATTTAAAATAAGGATCATAGGAATAAAGGTGGGACTTTCTTTTATTATTGATAGCCAGGTTCTGCCAATTTTTGTGCCTGGTTTACATAGAGGGTTCTTAATTTAAACTTATGAACATTAGATAAGAATCATTCTTTTCAGGTTAACTGTCCCAACAATCTTGAGTAGGCCAAAGATGCATCAAGAATGATGAAGAATGTGAAAATTAGATTGATATTTGCATCATTAGATGTAAATAAAATAAAAATAAATGAAAATATAACTAGAAGTGATTCTAACAGAAATTGATTTCAATGGAAATGAAAGGATATAAGTATAACTGAAAAAGGTAAAAAAAAAGATATTTTTTTAACTGTCTGTAACTGAATTTTTTGTTTTATTGATATTTATTTATTTTTGGATTTATTTTTCTTTATTTTTTCACTTTTACTTTTATGTTATTTTTTAATATTTCTTTTGATACACTAGAGGTAATTAAAAATATTAATATTCTATCAAACAGTTAGTCCTATTAACCTAATGAAGGGCTTCTGCCCAAAATGTAATTTACTTGAAAAATAAAATATCAATTAATTTGTTCCAAGTTTTATGTACCATATCATAGTTTTAAAGTAGATAATAAAGTGCTTATTTCTTTTTAAAAGATAAGGTACTAGGTATAAATTTGTTCCACTCTATTTCATTAACTTTGATATTATCAACATTCAGAATGAGGAAATTGTAGCTAAATGTTGACCCTGATTTTAAATAATTAATTTAACTATTTTTCTATTCCATAGGTAGGACAAGTTGGTATTTGATAGATAATCACATGTTGTTTCTTGTAGCATTACAGATTTCCAATATTTTCATTTGAAGTGGACATATAACTGTGGTGTCTTTACATACCCTGATTATGTGAATATGTAATAATGTTGTGCATTTGCAATAGTTTATTTAGTCTTGGATTAGTTAAAAAATAAGCTTCAGTAATCATTGTTCTTAAACTGTTGTTCAGAAAGATCCTTGCTAGAAATAAAATATGTACAAATCATTATATGCAGCTTCTTCATAATAGATTAAAATATCTCTGTAGATAGTCAGAAAGCAGCAGACTTGCTTTTGAAAAGTCTTTAAAAGCCAGAAGATGCCTGACGTTAAAATCTTTGGTTCCCATAATATCCTACCACTCCTATCTTTGTTATAAGTGTAAGCATAACATAAAGTAACTATTTTAGAAATATATTATTATGTTGTTTATAGTATTGTCTGACAAAAGGTTATTGTGTATTGTGGTAAAAACACTTTATTTGTTAAATATCTTATCTGAGTCTTGAAGAAAAATTAAGCTGTGAATTTTTGGATCATGACCCAGCATATGATCGTCCCATGAGTTGTAATACCTTCTTTGCTAGTATAAAAATAATTTTTTCAAGTAATAATTTTTCAAAAATTCAGCTCACTCAAACAAATTTGTAATATAAATTTACACAGAATTCTTTATTGAGACTTGGATATTTTTTCTCTCATAACTCAGGCAAGCTCTGGAAATGTCACCTGTATATCAGTGCTGCTAAGTAGAGGAGCTGATATTACAGCTATAACAAATGAGGGAAAATCTCCAATTCATTGTGCTGCAAACAACCAAGTATTTGAATTGCTCAAAGAAGCTCTTGAATCAGTAATGATAGAAAAGGCAGAAAAGATGCGGCTTATCCCCCTGCAAGGATTAAGTTGTCAGGCAGGAAAGTGAAGAAAACTTTTGGATAGTTTTGCTTTGAAAAACAAACATTTTTTTGTTGTGTATTATGCATGTAACATGTAGGAAAAATTGTATTATGTTAATGCTTAATTACAACATACATATTATCTTGTTTATTTAAAGCAAAACAGACTCCTCCAGGTTAGGAATAGTTGCTTACACGCTGTGTGGAATCACAGAGCCACACTTTGGAATCCCATTTTTTTGATAACTTGCATTACATAAATTTTCAAATCAGATTCCAGCTTTTTTATAATCTGAAATACATAGGAATAAAAAAGATATTGATAGCTCTGAAGACAGAGCAGAGTACAAAAAAAAGGGTATCTATGGAGTCTTATTCTGATAAATTTTGACTGGCAAGTTCCTCCCAAGATTTTGTTGGAATCCCAAGTCTAAAATTGAGGATGAAAAACGTGTTCAAATAGCACACTCATGATGGATGCCTTAAGGTAGGGTGTTTAAACCGAATAAACACATTCTTACAATTTTCAGATAATTAAAGATTTATTTCAATGAGCTAATTAACAATTTTGCAACTTCAAGAAAAATAGCAGAAGTGTCTCATACAGTTGAAGAATGACTCCAGGGGAGGGGTGATAGAATCTCAGAATTTTGTAAGGATGAATGTGTGGAGTCCTAAAGGAAAAACTATTCCTACCCTGGATGTTACTGATTAACAATAATAATTGCACTGTTTGATTTGACATATAACATTGTAATATCACATAGATGTTTAAATCTGAATAATAGGCAGTTTTATCTAATGTTTTTATTTCTTTTTATGTAATTAGAGTTTTAGAAACTTAAATTTAATTTTGATTGTAGCATTATCATTAGTGGATATTTTCGAATACATCCAATAGCTCACTGTTGAATCCCATGTTCTGTCTAACATTTGCTAAGGAAATCAAGTTTGTAGAAACTAATGTTTTACTTTAAAAAAAAGTCATACAGTTTTATTGATATATTCACAAAGCCATGACAGAGCACAGTTTTAATATTACATCACTTACTGTTATAAGTACATAAGTTATCTTTATTTATATGTTGAAGGTTTAACATAATATTTGTAACTTGCTGTAGGTATGAGATACAGTGGCTGTGAACCTCATACTAATAAACTTGGAAATAGATTATCTTCATCCTTTAAAGAGATTAAAAGCAAAAGGTGAGATTTTTGTGGTTTTGAAAAATTCTGTTATCATTTACAAATAATGTATTAAAAACGTGATTTAATAATTCAGATATATACAACCTCAGAATTATGATTTAGTAATTTATTCTCTACAAATGTTTCATAAGCTTCTGAATGTTTAACAACTACGAAATGTAATAACAATGAGTTAAGTTATGTGAAACAGATTCTGTGTAACTAAAATTATTATAGCTTTCTAAAAAATATCATATGGATAGGGGGAGAGAAGAATAACAAAAAGGTAGAAGTGTAAAAAGATAACTAAATAAAATATGTACAATGCCAATATATAAAATACAAAACAATCATAATTGTAGTTTGGATATAGAAAAAAAATTTATCTCTTAATGTTATTGTCAGACTTTCTTAAAGTTTCGCATTTCACAATATCAAAAACAAAACTTTATTACAACATGACCACTTGAGTAAAAGTAATTCTGCTTCACAAATTGTAAGCAAGATGTTTGAAAACAAATCACAAATTATTAGACAAAAATTATCTCGTGTGTGAAGATATTTAATTAGGCTAATTACAAAATCGGAAAGTAACTTGGCAAGATGATTCAGTGATGTTAAAAGTTGAGGCTCAAGATTTTTTATTAATTTAAATGTTTTTAGTACCATACAAAATTCACTTATAAGACTATGTTATGTTACATTTTTTAATGGCTGGAAAAATGAACTCTTTTTTCAGACTGGTCGGCACCTTTTCAGGAGACAAGTGCAAACCTGTATATCACGTTTCAAAATTTATGTACAAAATAATAATCCTTTCTCTATTCAAAAATATTTTAGAATTGATAGTTTGTAATTTTGTAACATTTGTTATTGTAATTTGCAAATAAAATTAAAAATATTCAAACTTGCATTTCTGTACCACTCAAAGGAGACTCACCTGTAAACAACACTTATCAATTTTTTTCAGAATTTTTATGCCAATTCCAAAGTATAGGTCTGTACATGTTAAGAAATGATCATCTCTTGATAACTGTACTCTCAAGGTTTTGTTTGTCAAATGGTTGTTTTCTTTATTTCTCTATTTAATAGCCTTACAGCATGTGATCACAACAAGTAATGTAGCACTGAATGAAGTAAAATATGTACAGACAAAATTTGAATACCATTGCATAGAGCAGAATATAAATTATTTATGCTAATGCAGACTGAATAAAATTATATAAGAAATAATTTGTGGTTCCAGTACTGTATCTTAACACCTCTCGCATAACAGCTTCTCTTGTTCAGTGCTGCCCCCTATATGTGCAAGAATTTCGTTTGCCATTAGCCTTGAAACTCCCACCTACCAACATGTTCAATGTGGTTCTACTGCATCTTCAAAATATAAATAATTATGCGACAACCCTCCACCAATAGAAGAGCCACACACTCACTGATGCAGGTTACTCCCTCCATACAATTCCTCCTAACCTTCACTTCTTGTTTGGCACTGTTGTGTTCATACTCAATTTTACTCATGTTTTCAACTTTGCACTTGTTTTTCCTTTGTTTCCTGAAGTAATAATTTGTTTTCGAGTTGTTAATGATTTTTCTTATGGTTTCAAGTGAAAGTAAACTTCATTGTATTTTTCTTTATGTTTTGTTGTATTACTACAGTTGAATCATAAATTCTGGGTTTGGTGTCATGGATGCCACTGTAATAACTGCTACTGCTTCGTCTGTCATTTCTCAGGCATCAGGTTCTACACTTTCAGTTGAGGAGGTCTCAGCCATTGTTCAGTGGGAGCTTCAACACTAGATGATACAGCCAGCTTCTCTCAAACATTGACAAGATCTTCCTATTTGGAGGAGTCTGGTTTTGATCATGAAGGTTTGGAGAGCCTTTTTCCTCCTCCATTCAATGTTGTGCATTCCTGTGTGTCACCTGTGGAAGCTGCCAGGCCCCTCTCAGCCTTTTTGGACATAATTGCACAGGTATATTACCTTGTTTTGTCTATGTCACTCCATCTTCTAAGGCACTGCGTCTTCCCTTTTACACACGTCTCCTTCATGAGGATAACTTATCCCCCCCCCCCCTCCTCCAGGTATCAGGGTTTCATGTTGACCAGTTGTAGGTGCAATTACATTCAGGATCCAGCATGCCTTGTCCTCCAAGCTCTTCAAATTTTTTTGCTTTAGCTTATAAATAAGCAGATTTTCCTTTTCCAGACTCACTACACCAAGAATCTTTGATGTAAGTGTCAGAGGGGAATCCTAATTCTCTGGTTAGGTTCTCCCAAGCCCAATTTTTAGCTGACCTTAACCTCTATCCTTAGATACTTGTCTGCCGTGAACCTCCTATTCACCAATCCCCTGCAGGCATTTTGGAGGAGACTCACAAACTCATATTTCGATGTTGGTGCATTTATCCTCAGCCCTCTCCCTCCAAACATAATTCCTTTGCTGCTGGGATCTCTTGGGTAGGAATGTACTTTTGTCTCACACCTCAACCTATCTGTGCGACCTCAGAATGGCAACATTCTTATGCAGATCTATTTTTGGAGATGTCCCTGGAGTCATGGGTGAAGTCTGTGAGACAATATTCCTCCATTTCTTTGTTGGTTTCCCAGTTGTCTCAGCCTTCATCTGCCCCTGCTCCCACTACCATTTTTCATCCCACACACCCTCATCTTTACTTGCTCCTCTATTCAGGGTTTCAATGATAGGTTGTTGTATTTCTCACCACAGAAACATGCTGCCAAAAGTTACTGGTGATTACCCAGTGGAATCTGGCCAGATTTGGTCGCATGTGACAAGAGTTCACTTCTGATCTTTGGGTTCTTCAGGTGCTGTCTGAGGGCCTCTTCTTTCACTTCCTTTCTCCCCTCCATTATAAACAGGTCTTCTTTCCTCACCCCTTGGGATCCCATGACTTGCCAGCATCTTTTTGAAACATTCTATACTCTTCTCCTCAAGGACACTATCAAACCAGTAAGTCAACCCTCTACAGGTTTTTACTTCAGGCTGTTTGTAGTTCCCAACAAAACAGGTGACTGGTAAACTTGTCTCTGCTCAACTGTTTCATAGACCTTCCCTATTTCACTGTGGAATCTTTTTCTCCCTCTACAGTAGGCTTTTACTCCAGGTCTGTTGATGACCAGTGCAGACACCTAACATGCATACCCCCACATCCCTATTCCCAACATTATAGAAGTATCCTTCAGCTCATACACAGGGACCAGGTTTACCTCTTTCACATGTTGCCATATTGGGCTGGCCATGGCACTTTTTGTGTTTTGTCAAGTACTCGGGGCCTTTGCTCGACTAATCCATGCCCAGGACTTGCATTTTCATCGTTATAGAGACAACTGACTGTAACTGGCTGCATCCGAACCAGTAGCACACAAACACACCCACAGTTACTTCTGGGAGAAGCAGCATGTGTAGGTTGGATCATCAAGGTGGAGATGTCTTTCTTTTCACCTTCTCAATACCTTGTCTACATGTAAATATTTTTCAACTACTACCTAAGTCAAGCCCAGCCTTCTTTTTGTCTGCAGTCGATGGAGTTTTTAGTCACCAAGGCCTTTACATTCACTGCATACAAAGTTTTTTCTCTTTTGTGGATATGGGCTTCCATAGAAGCTCTTATACTCTTAGGTCATGCTTACATGTTCACCCTTCAGTGAACACTACAAGACCAAAGGAACTTTGTTAGGTATCCCTTATCCCTTATTCATCTACCCTTCCCTTCTTTTCATTTTCACATGGTTGTCAGACAGAGACAACATCACAGTAAGTGTTCCTCTCTCACCACCTTGTCCTGAGTTGCACCTGTTTACAGATGCTTCACTAATGGGTTGGGGGTGAGTTTGGTGCATCAAATCATTATGTTGTTGGTCTCCTGTTGAGAAACCATGCATATCAACATCTTGGATTTACTGGCTGCCTGTCGGGCTTTGGATCATTTACTTCCCTCTGTATGAGGCTAATTGGTCATGGTCTATTCCAACTATTCAACAGTTGTCTCATACATCAATTGACCTGGTGGCATCTGTTTCCAAACATTAGAACTACTCTTTTGGGCCCATACTTTTCACACATGCCTCATTGCGTGTCGTATTTTTGGTACATTATCTCTGGTTGCAGGTTTTTTTTTCCCATCCTAGCCATATCCACCCCACAGAGTGGTCCCTAGACCTTCAAGTTTCCTGGTAGCTGTGCATACACTGGGGTACTCCTCATTTGGATGCTTTTGTCACACATCACCACACCAAATTACCCCTAATCTGGTCCCTGGGTTTGGTGGTAGATGATCTCAGTCAGGACTGTACCAACCTGTACCTATATGCCTACCCACCGATCTATCTTGTACCCAGGGTGATATCCATCATTCAGCCCACTCTGTGTTGAGTACTTCTGATAACACCTTTCTGGCTCTCACAACCCTGGTTCCTGGTTCTTACCCTCCTCCAAAAGACAGCTTCATTACCTCTTCCTCTTTTGCCATTCCTCCTTCGTCATCATTTTTTCACCTGCACTTATCACACTCCATCTTCATATGTGGATTTTCTTCAGTCCTTTGGTTTATCATAAGTTCCTTTCTTCCTGACCAACTATACCTCATGTTACAGAATTTTACTTGGCTGTTTGATCATAACTCCTCGGTATCTACCATAGCAGGATATCAAACAGCCTTGTTCAATACCTTCCATTTTACCACATTACACAAAGTGTTTTCCTATACTAATTTTCCCTTTTGTTATGTTTCTTCTGGATCAGTTGTCCTCTTCTCCCTACAATATTGCTGGATTGGGATATTAATGTTGTTCTACACACCCTTACCCATCCTCCTTTTGCACTCTTAGCCACCTGTTCCCTCTACCATTTATCCCCTACAACCTATTTCCTACTCTCTTGGTCCTGTGGTCTTGGTAGTCGGACGATCTTGTCCATCATTGTTTTAAAACTTT